GTGTGTGTGTGTGTGTGTGTGTGTGTGTGTGTGTGTGTGTGTCCCACCGCAGTGCGTTTCGTCACTCCAGTCGTCACAGTCGTTGTAGCCGTTACACACCAGTTTCTGGGGGATGCAGATCCCTGTCGCACAAAGGAAGTGATCCTTCCCGCCGCACACAGCTGCCGACCAATCAGAGAAAAGGAAGAGCAGTGATGTCACTGGAACGTCTAATCAAACGTCAACATGTGTTTGTGTTTTTCACTCACATGGTTTCCCTTTGGTCTGTCGCGGGCTGTAGCAGGTGAAAGGGGCGGGGCCTGCTGTTGGTGAGGGTGCCAATGATGACGATGATGATGATGACAGTGGCGGAGGCGTGGAGGTGACATTGCTGAACTGAGAGCAGCGCAGGAAGTCGGGCCAGGAGGCGTTGAACATCTGGAGGACAGGCTCACAGCCTTCCCTCGCCGCCTCGCAGAATGACGCACAGGGCAGCACGACCTGTCTGCGCACACACAGAGGTCAACGAGGTTATTAAAGGTGACAATGTTCGCTCACAAAAATGGCCGTCACTCTTCCTCTGGGTGGACCACGTGTTTCAGTGATTTTGTGTTACCTGTTGTGCGAGCCGTCGGTGGCGGTGATGCACTCTGGCAGAGCCAGCGAGCAGCCGAACAGCATGATGTGTCTGTAGCAGGAGAGTCTGCTGAGGTAGCTGAAGAACCTGCAACAAACATGCCAGAGTTTAGCTCCGCCCACATGACGAACACTGTACAGGCTCTGTGTGCGTGGAGGCGGTTACCTTAGCAGCATGTCGACCTCTGAGCTCTTCACCACGGCGACGGAGGAGAACAGCCATGTTTGATTGTAGGGCAGCATGTGACAATGCGGGTCCGTGATCAGCTGACAGCTGCCTGCAGACAAACAACTCTTTTATTGTTAATATTGTCAACAACAAAAACAAAGAAACAAATAACTGAGAGGGAAGATGCCCCCTGCAGGCTCATGGGTTCACTACACAGCATCCAATCATTCAGACACGAGACAAGATTCTGTTGATTCTGCAAAGCAAACAATCGTTACTAACCAAATTCATAACAATAAGGTAGAAGCTCAGTTCCGCCTAAATCTCAATCCAATGAGAAACTTTCTCTTAGTTTCTAAAAATTACTACAAAATAATGACAAAGCGTCTCAAAATAACAACGTACCTTCTGGAAAAAACGACTTTATATCACAGTCATAACTAATGACTTAGTTAGTATCTTAAAAAAATTAATTAGTATAAATTAGCATTTACTATAATGAACTGTATTTAACCGTATGTTATCACTATTCCAAGTTAACGTTCTCATTTTTATGTTGTCATGCTAATGTTAAACATGGCGCCATTTGTTTTAATTTGTTAATGTTTTGTCATTATTTCAGGTTGAAAGAACTACTGATAAATATGTTTTTAACAAGTTCAGAGTCAAACGCTTATTCACGTGTGCGCCTTGCGTCCAATCAGAGGACAGGACAGCTCATTAGCATTCACCTTGACGACGCATCAATACACACAGAGAGAGAGAGAAAGAGAGAGAGAGAGACTGAAGGACAGTGGAGGAACAGAGACACAGAGACGAGAAGAATTTTAAAATAGAAACTGAATGAACGATTTATCATCTCTCACACACACACACACACACACA